AAAAAAAAAAAAAAAAAAAAAAAAAAAAAAAAAAAAGTAAAAAGAGAGAAAGAGAGGGATATAGCTCAGGGGTAGAGCACTTGCCTAGCACAAGTCAAGTTCAGGCTCAACATCAGCATGAAGAGAACAGAAAGTAAAGCAATATGTTCACTGAGTCTAGGTCCCCTAGTGACCTGGTGTCTGGCTCAGTTTGTGCAAGGATGTTCTATGGCCCAGGTTAGTTTCTTCCTTCCTTCCTTCCTTCCTTCCTTCCTTCCTTCCTTCCTTCCTTCCTTCCTTCCTTCTTTCTTCCTCTCTCCCTCCTTCCCTCCTTCCCTTCCTTCTTTCCTCCCTCCCTCCTTCCCTCCCTCCCTCTCTCCCTCCCTCCTTTCCTTCCTTCCTTCCTTCCTTCTTCCCTTCTGCCTCCTTCCTTCCTTTCTTTCTTCCTTCCTTCCTTCCTTCCTTTCTTTCTTTCTTTCTTTCTTTCTTCCTTTCCTTTCCTTCTCCTCCTTCTTCTTTTTGGTGTCTTCAAGACAGGGTTTCTCTGAGAAGCCCTGGTTATCCTGAAACTCACAGAGATCCTCCTTCTCTGCCTCCTAAGTGCTGGGATTAAAGGCACCATCACTCCCAGCTATTGCCCAGCTCCTTACACTGTGCAGGTCACATAAATGAAGTGTGGGAGGTGTAAAACAATCAGCAAAGGCCAAAGGCTTCTGACTGTACCAGGACTGAAAACTAAATTAAGATCAAATCTGTAACAAACCAGGTGTTTTCTGGCAGTGCTCACTGGAACTGCATCACGTGGCCTTGCCACAGCCATGGTTCGGACCACAAGGTACATACTCTTTGCATCTCCTGTGCCCTCATGTCACTCAGTATCAATAAACACTGCCTGAAACATGTCAAACTTGAGACTACTACATGTTATGAACAGTAATGGTTTGTACTATAGGTTGAAGGCTTCTGTTCTACCATAAATATGAAGGGTTAATTATGGAAAACAAAACATTTTCTCAGTCTTTCCTCAGTGTGTATCAAGTTAGGCTATCTTTACATTCTATTTCTAGAATGTTTGATATCTCTTTTTACATTTAGTGCACATATATGGTATATGTGTGTGTATATGTGTTTGCGTGTGTGTGTGTGTGTGTGTGTGTGTGTGTGTGAGCTGTTTTGGCTCATGTGTGGAAGTCAGAGTACAACTTATGGGAGTCAGTTCCCTCCTACCATGTGGGTTTGAGACCAAACTCAGGTTGTCAAGCTTGGTGGCACCTTTACCCTCTGAGCCATCTTGCCAGCCTCAGAACATTTGGTTTTAAAAACTGATGTTTGAGCTGGATAAAAGATGATTCAATATATTTGTCTTGGGCTCAGGATAGAATTATAATTTCTGAAATGACCCTGAGCACACATTTGAAGTTGTAAACTATATATTTATTCAGTGTTCTCAGTATCAATGATCATGAAACCAAAACATTGGTCAACCCAGAACACCATTAAAGACATTCTGTATCCTGCAGTGTCAAATATTCAGTCAAGATTGGCTTCAAAATTCTATGTATACCAAAGATTGTTTTCAAAGAAATGTCTTTATAATTTATTATCATTAAGTGTTTGGTTTGCACTCTTATTATTTTTTACGTATGTGAGTATTTTGCCTGCATCTATGTCTGTGCACAGCATGTGTGAAATGCCTGTGAAGGCCAGAAGAGGGCACTGGATCACATGAGACTGAAGCTATAGATGGTTGTGAGCTGCCATGTGGGTACTGGGAATCAAACCCAGGTCCTCTGCAAGAGCAGCTGGTGCTCTTCACCCCTGAGCCATCTCCCTAGACCATGTATATCTATTTTATATTTCTATATGCCTACAATACACATTTCTTGGGCAAAAAGGAGCTGTATGTAGCAAAGCTTAGAAATTCCTGCTCTGGTGTCCATATGTCCATTGGTGACATATCCTTCACAACACAGGCCCATTAAGACATCGATGGCTAGATTGGCTTTAACTTTTCCATCTCTTAATGTATTTCTTATACTTCTTGTATCCATCTTCCAGCAATGCAATGACAGGCATGATTGCTGATATTCAATGTCCCTACAGAGAAATAGAGGCATCAAGAGGCAAGGCCACTTGCAGCACGATGTCATGGAGCTGAGTGGTGGGGCTGAGAACTGAGGGGCAGGGCTCACAGTCTTAGCCATCAGTCACGCTGCTGTGGTGGAAGACAAGAAATGGACAGCCTGTGCTTTCCTTAGACCTGAGCTCTACCCATGCATAAATGAGAGAGAAGAACTCTGGCAGGCAATTACCAGGATGGCCGAGGTTTACACAGCTCGCTGGGCCCACTGTGAACTTCTTCAGCACAACGGACTTGAAGACACCCCTCTGTGGGGGTGGAGGGCTGGCACGTGAAGCCCAAATGCCTGCTGATTAGTAGTCTTGGTTGACTGGAGTACTGGCTCCCTGATGGTCCCTGGAAGTCACCATGCACCCCTAGGGAGAGGCTCTGTGCACTAGGGGCAACCCAAGGCAGCCTGTGCTGGGAGTCCACGGTACCCACACCAGCACCTTCCCATTAGCTTCTTCAAGGCATCAGATTAACCCCCCAATTTATATGTGACAAATGACTCCATTCTGTGTAATTAACCAGTGCTTAATGAGGCCCTAGTCACTGTAGCCTGGCTTTCCTATGTGGAGAAACCCGAGGTGGAACCACTGCAGGGAGAGCCGGAACTAGACCCTCACTCCACTCGCTTGCTCAAACAGCGACTGTCACTCTCATCAGTGTGACAGTGAGCAAGGACAGCAATAACTCTAGCACTCACACTGAGCAGGAGACCTGAGCTGCCTCCAGGCATCTCTGACTGAATAGGATGTTCCCGTTCTGCTGGACTTTTGGGTCTGGAGGAACAACTGGTAAAATGGTTGATCAGTGTTCTTTATAATAGCCAGAGAGGCAGGGAATGAGCTGAGAACACAGTGGTGTGTGTGCGCGTGAGTGCATGAGTGCATGCATGTGTGTGTGTGTGTGTGTGTGTGTGTAAGCCTGATGGGAAGGGAAGCAGGGGAGCTTCCCTGAGGCTGTGGCCTGGGAGGGGGATGCGGAAGAGGGCCTCTGGAGACGGCTGGCCTCTGGTTCACCCCAGCTGCCTAATGAATTCCTGTTCTCCACTCCTTCCTGTTTCTTACACAGCCTCTCTGTCTCTCAGCAACAGATCCCCGTCTCCTTCCTTGCATTATCTTTATGCATTAATCAGAGAAAGCCGCCTAATCTCACCTTCCAGATACCTGACACAGAACAGGGACAGAATGGCTGGGGGTGGAGTGAGCACACGGTTTAGAAGACCATTTCAGTTCAGGGACAGGGAGAAGCCCACCTCACCTGCACAGACAGGAAGGAGGAACACACAGAGGCTAAGACTAGAGCATATAGCAAACGCCACCCCAAGTGCCTGTTCTGAGAGAAGTTCCAGAAGAGCCAGTATTGACAAGAAGAGGTCATGACAAGGAGCCAGTACTGGGCCTGAGGGCTGACACTGCTCTTTTCATTTGAGGATCACCAAAGGGAAGATCAGGGAGGGAATCAGCAGCTTGGCCTGACGAGTCTTTGTGTGAGCTATCCTGTCTAGCAACATCTAGCACCTACACAGGGATGACCTTGTACTCAGAGCTCACCGAGGGTCTGTGTTCACTCCTGTGTAAGAGCAGGTACCCGAATAACTGAGAAGGTGCTAGATCTGTGCACAGCCACAAGGTCTGAGGTCTGAGAGCAGGAGTTTGATAGAGCACACAGCTAACACCACTTACCTCTGTCAGCATCACCAGACCTAGGAAATAGGAGATGATGGACAAGGCCAGGATGAGCAGTTCTCGCCGGTAGCCCCGCCGGAAGACCTTGGGGTACATGTCTACCACGGCTGTCACAAGGCTCTCCACACATACAAACTGGAGGGAGAGAGACAGTGCATGAAGCCCAGGAAAAAGCCAGTCCTGGTACCCTAGGTCCACGTACCCAGGGCTTTCCTTCTCACTGGTCCGGCCCCCACCTTCACATTCCATCCATAGTGATGAATGTAAGCCCATCTCCAACGTGCTCCAGTATATCCATTGAGTGGACCAGGAAGAAGATGCTGAGAGTACAGGAAGTACTGCCCAGGGTCACTCAGCATGCAATCCAGACTGTGATGGCTCCTCTCTCATCACTGTCACTGTTCTGGGTTTTGTGAATTACAGGAGACCTAGCCTCTGCCCTTGAGACAAGAGGACTGTCTTGGGAGTTTGGACATCTGCTGGCAGCAGGCTCTGGCCATTGCCTTTGATTTCTAGGACTGTGACAGTCCCCTGCCCTATGGTAGGTGGACAGCTATACTCAGCTCTGTCAGCCAGGTGCTTGGTAACAGAGCCCAGCTGAGAACCAGCCTGCTTCTGAGATGGTCTCCCACCTCTGTGCTGCAAATGATGTATGCATTTGCTAGTTACCATGTTGGACACTGTTAATTGTCTCATTCACATCTATCTTCCCAGACAAGGTGTTTCCATTATACATTAAGGGCTGGGGATAGAGAGGGGTGGTGACTCTCTGAAAGTCACACAGCTGGGAGCTATTCAAAACCGATGTCCACCCCTGCATTGCCTCCACAACAAGGGCTGGTACTGCCAGTCTCTCCCCAGGGTCTTGAGGGAGGGAGATCAGATTCAAAGAAGGCTGTTTACCCAGGAAGCTAGTGAGAGTGTGGGCGGCCGACGTACACAGGTAAGAGGTGGACAGACCCAAATATCTGTCCCAGCAAATCACTCAGCAACATTAAGCCTTGGCTTCTGTTTTCAAACCCAGACAGTGAATGGGGGTCCTCAGCTCATGTGATGATTAGAGGGTGGGTTTAGAATGTGTCCCAGGCACATGGCAGGAAAGCCAGTGAGCCCAGCTCAGTGGGGCATGGGCACCTCCTCTGCCAGGCAGGACCCTCTGTCAATCACAACAGCCGCAGAGCTCTGATTTCTGAAAGGCTTTGCCAGCAACAATGGAAGAAAAGCTATCAGCAGAAACACCCAGTGCTTCTGCATCGCAGCTTAGTGGTTTCTGGGGAAGAATTCTGGCTTCAGAGAGAAACTTAATGTGGCTGATTGACAGACACACGGGCCAGGGCTTGTGTGTTCAGTGACTCTTGCAAGGTCGTGGATAAGAGCAGTGCTCATTGGACTAACTTGGGCACTATCCTTCCCACTAATATAGGAGGATTGGGGAGGCTTCCCTTGTCAGACAGGGCTTCTCTGCACAGCACAGACTTGTCAGGATTACTGATCATGACCAGCATGGCTGGAGGCAGTTCTCTGGGTTCTAGACAGCTAGTGGGGCTCAGCAGCAGGCAGAGGCTGTATTCTAGGTCTATGAGGGCAAAGAAAGGCCACAGGCTGCAAGCCTGGAGGCCATGGGGAGGGAGAGGGGGAGCATGGAGAGAAGCAGAAAGGGAGGTGGAGTCGGTGTGGAGGCATGAGGGGATAGGAGCATGCAGTTCACTCCTAAAACTGAGCATGTGCCTGCTCTATGGACCACAGCTGCAGAGTGAGGGAGGGATGGATGGACAGATGGCCATAGGAATTAGTGTGCATAGAGCTGGTGGGAGAAGGTGCTGAGGTGCCCAGGGGATGCCAGGAAAAGGTCATGAAGACCTCGTGACAGAGCCAGAGGAGGGAAACTGGCTCTCCCATGTCCCATGTGCTCCATGGATCAGTAGGGATGGGGACACAGGGACCCTGGTTACACTGTCATCATTATAACTGTTATGGTAGCCACAGACTACCTCTTAGGCCTTGTTTCTGCTTTTCCAGGAGCCTGGCTGGAAATCATTTATCAGAATGGAAGGACTTAGGGCATTATCTTAAAGACCACATTGGAGTCTGGGGAGATGCTTGGCAGAAGGAACTTTCTGCCAAGTCTGAGATTCTGAATTCCATCCCTGGGACACACATGGTAGAAGGAGAGAACTGATTTCCACAAGTTGTCCTTTGACCTATGCATATGTACTGTAGCAGGTGTGTGTCTACACACACACACAGAGGATTAAATAAATAAGTGGAATAAATAAATAAATAAATAAATAAATAAATAAATGAAAATTTTAAAACAAAACAAAGCTAAAAGGAAAAAAACCAAAACACTTAAATTGGGCATTTTGAGTGAAGAAAACAAGGCATGGAGGAACACCAAGTAGACATGTCTGTGGCTAGGAGGCTGCTGAGAAGGTGTGGAGCTGCTTGGTGGGTTGATGTCCAAAGCCAGGAGACAGTTCTGCAGCCTAGAAGCTGTTTCTAAGAGTAGCACCTGTTCTGTCTAGTCCTCTGATCTTCCTTTCCCCTCTCTTCCCCTTACCTGATGTCCCTTCCCCTCCCCCACGATCTCCTTCCCTCTTCCCACCCCCTCACCTGACTGTCCAGGCCCAGGAAGATGAGCATCATGAAGAACAAGGTGGCCCACAATGGAGAGAGAGGCATCATAGTGACAGCCTTGGGGTAGGCGATGAAAGCCAATCCAGGACCTGGAGGAGAGGGAGAGAGTTCAGTATTTCCATCTGGTAGGTAGATAGTGGTTGCAGGTCCCTGGGCCAGGTCTCACTCAGATCTCCTGTCTGTACTGTGCAGATGGTGCCATGTTAGTGGAGAGGGACTGGATGGGTCGGGGCTCAAGACAGGAGTGTCTGGCCCACAGATCTTCTGTATCCACCTGCTACCTGCTTTCACATTTCAGGGCAGAGCCTGTTCTCGTCTGGGCCAGACAGCAGCTGAATCTAAGCAGGAGCAGAGCAGTCTACCTAAACATGCTTCTGAGAAAAGTGGGATGACATCAAGCAGGCAATGCGCAGAAGGAGGATTTATTATTGCAGCCTATACACCATAAGAGCCATGTGTATGTATCCCAGTGGATTCTGCTGTTGCCTCTAGCTGCGTACACTTCCACAGCCATCAGCATCCTGGCAACTATGGGGAGGACTTTTTATTTAAAAGATTCTTTTTAAGGTGTGTGTGTGTGTGTGTGTGTGTGTGTGTGTGTGTGTGTGTATCTGAGCGAAGTACCTGTGAAATCTAGAAGAGGGCGATAGATACCCTGGAACTGGAGTCAGGTGTTTTGTTTTGTTTTAATTTCAGATTAAGATTGCTTGTGCTGTTCAGGGGAAGTTGCTGGGGTGACAACCACACACTTCACCTATGAATGTTGACTTCAAAAGCAGCCATGTCGTTTTTGTCATGGGAAAAATGAAATACTCCTGCAATTAAATAATTACAGCAATGTTTGAGGCTGCATGCTTGCCAATACTTGATACTGTTATTATTTCTGATTTAGACCTTAAAGTGACTGAGCACCATTCCTTCACTTTGGTTTAATTTGTGTTGCCTGGGTACCTTCAAGTGCTTACTATCTCAACAAATGTCCCTTTTGTTGGTCCATTATCATAATCATCATCATTATTGGTTGAAGTAGCTTTTTTCTTTTTCTGTTTTTTTCTTTTGATGGGGGAGACTAGGCATCATGGACATTTCTTCTCAGGCTATGACTGGCCCTTTTTTGTCTTTTTTTTTTTAAAGATGTATTTTTTATTCTGTGTGTATGGGTGTTTCACCTACATTTATGTCTCAAGAGGTGGCTCAGTGGTTAAGAGCACTGGCTGATCTTCTAGAGGACCCAAGTTCAATTCCCAGCACCCACCTGTTTGATCACACCCTCGTATTAACGCCAGTTCTAGAGGATCCATTGCCCTCAGCTGGCCTCCGTAGGCACTGCACACAGACATAAACACATCGCTGTCATTCCACACAGCGAGGTCACTATTACTAGTTTATATTCCATTTCAGGGTCCACCCCTGAAGACATTGCCCAGGGTCCAGGCTATGAGGAAAACACTCTGGGAAGTACTGACCTTTCTTACCTTCCTCCACCCACCCTTTCTGCCCCTCCCTCCTCCTCCCAGCCCTTTCTGCCCTTCATGACAGTAACCATTCTCTGCTTTCTAGTCCTTTCTGTATCTCTTTTGCACAGTTTCCTGCATCTCTGTTTTTCCCCAATGAGGGATAAACACTGATATTTATTTTTCAACTTTTAAATACATGCCATCTTTTTCCAGAGTAGAGTCTCACTGTGTAGCCCAGGCTGGCCTCAAACTCACTGTATTAACTGTGTGTTTATATCAACTTGGCACAAGCTAGTGTCATCAGAGAGGAAGAAGCCTCAACTGAGAAGATGCCTCCATAAGATCCAGCTGTAAGGCATTTTTCTTAATTAGTGATCAATGGGGGAGGGCTTGGCCCATTGTGTGTGGGGCTGTCCCTGGACTGGTGGTTCAGAGGTCTGTAAGAAAGCAGGCTGAGCAAGCCTTGAGGAGCAAGCCAGTAATCAGCACTTCTCCATGGTGTCTGCCTCTGGCTTCCTTCCCTACTTGAGTTTCTGTCCTGACTTCCTTTGGTGATGAACAGCAATGTGGAAGTGTGAGCCAAATAAACCCTTTCCTCCCCAACTTGCTTTTTGGTCATAGCATTTTACTGTAGCCATAGAAGCCCTGACTAAGACTCACCATCCTCTGCCTCAGGCTTCCAAGTGTGTACCACCACAAACAGCTCTGTATACATTGATTTTAAACTACCCTGCAATTGATATTTTCATGACTACTTAACATTTTTTAAGATTATTTTTTCATTTATATGTATGTGTGTGCCTGCCTGTGTGGTTCTATGTGTACCACGTGAGTTCAGTGCCCAGGGATGCCGGAAGAGGGCATCAGATCCCCTGAAGCTGAAATTACACGGGTGGTATGAGCTGCCTAATGTGGGTTCTGGGAACTGAACCTGGGTCCTCTGTAAGAGTAGCAAGTGCTCATAAGTGCGGAGCTATCTCTCCACCCCACTCCTGATTCTTTTTAATATACATACTGCTGTTATATTTTGTCAACATCTTTTTTTTTTCAGTAACCATGAAGATATTAGGGTTTTATTAATCTATGAATACAATGTATACTATTAATGGGGTCTCTAACAGTAAACAAACTTTGCATTATTCCTGCAGTGGTTCTTCTTGGTCAAGGACTATGAATCAGTTTATTTCTGCGTCTTCCCAGTGTTTACTACAGTGAGTTTTCTCTATCAGTTTTGTTTCTATCCTCATCATCTTGTGTCTTCCATGGTTCAATGCCAGGCAGCCCCAGGCCAAGCTCTTGTATTTAAATGTGCTTATCAGGGTAGCAGCACAGGCAAGTGGGTTTTAAAGAGGCAATTAAGTCTTAAAGTCATAAAGATGATTAGGTGGAGAGGGATTAGTGTCTGTCTCGGTGTCTGGATTAGTTCCTGTGAGAACAGAGTGGTTCTCTTAGGGTGGACTGTTAGACAGGGCCAACTCGTTTGTGCCCACCCTCTTTACTGTGCACCTATCTCACTGTCTACAAGCTCGTGCCGTGTGATGCCTCTGTCATGTGATGGCACAGCGTGAGATCTCCACACACGTGACACAACCACCAAATCTTCCTTTATTCAGAAACTATCAGCTAAACAAATAACACATCTTTATAAATTACCCAACTTAGGTATTCTGTTATAGGAAAAGAATATGGTAACAGTTGGAGACTGTGGACTTGAAAATTTTTATATCTTATAGCTACCTGGTTTATAGAGGAGCATGATTCTTTAGTAGTTCACGGGAAATTCCTATTCCTGACTTTTGTAGTAGGGTATATAGCTTTTCTTCTCTCCCTCCCTCCCCCCTCTCTCTTTCTCTTTATACACACATACACACACATACACATATTTATGTATATGTACACACATACATATATACATACACACACACATATATGTAACATGTACATGCTTGCCTGCTTAAGCTTACAAGCACTTTGTAAGTACAGCAGTTCTCAGGTGTATTGGAAGATGTTATCAGATTCCCTGAAACTGACATGTTTGTAAGCATGGCCGTTCATGTACATGTATGTATGTGTGCGTGTGCATGTGCATGTGGAGGTTTGATGTCGACGTTGGATGCCTTTTCTCTTCACCTTTATTTTTACAGATAGGCTCTCTCACTGAACCTGAAAGTCGTTGATCTGGGTAGGCCTTCCAACCAGTGAGCTTTGTGGATTTGATTGTCTTCTCTACCCTCCATCCAAGGTTGGAGCTATAGGCAAGCACCTTCACACTCAGCTTTTTACAGGAGTTCTGGGGATCCAAACTCAGGTCCTCATGCTTGGGTGGCAAATACTTTACCAACTGAGCCGGCACAAAATGTTTTAGATAAAGAAATTACTTCTATAAAAGACATGGAGTTATTCAGTCTTCCTGTTTCTTCCGAATCAGTCCAAGTACACTGCCTTTTAAAACACATTTACCCACATAACCTGTGATCATATAAAGGTTGAAACTATTCACAGTGGTCCCTGACTTTCATTCTAATATCTATGGGGTCTGTAGATCTGACTCATATCTCATTATTCAAAAACCATTAAAGCTTCTTTATTATTGTTGTCTATTATTATATTGCACACGCACATGTTATTTGGGTGAGAACATTTGTAGGGGTCAGAGGACATCTTTGTGGGGTCAGTTCTCTTCTACCTTTATGTGGGTTCTGGGGATCAAACTCAGGTCATCAGGCTTGTGTGGCAAGTGCCTTTAGCCGCTGAGCCATCTTGCTGGCCCCTTTCATTGTGGATGTTGGATGCCCACTGGGGTTTGAATGAGAAGTGTACCCCAGGGGCCCATGCATTTCAACAGTTGGTTTGCAGTCAGTGATGCTGTTTGGGGAGGTTGTGAAATGTGATCTCTCAGCTTTCTGCTGCTGATACCATACCATGTCTTCCAGCCATGATGGACTCTATCCCCTGAAACTGTAGGCCAAATAAACTCTTCCTGAAGTTGCTTTAGTCTTGGCATTTTATTACAGCAATAGAAAACAGAAATTTATATTTTCTTTAATTTTTCCCTTGGTAGTTTTGTCAAGGAATTATGACTTTTGTCCATCTCTTCTAATAGAGTGTTTGGCTTTTCAAATATTCTCTATTAATTGTATGAATTTTCTCTGGTCCTACTTTTCTTGGGTTTAATAGTGTCCTGTTTGTGCATCCTATTCTGGTAAACACTTCATGCTTGTTTGAAGAGAATCTTTCTCTGAGGTTGTTTGGTGCAAGGCTGTATGATGCCCCTTCAAGGGGCTGGGGAACTAGGTATATACTATTAGGCAGTGTGTGAGGCAGTGTTCGCCTCTGATGTCATCTACTTTGACTGTGATCCAGCCTCCTTGAGATTCATATTGTCTTCAGTACTCAAGATCCATGGCGCTTTTTTACTGCAGTGTATGTATCCAGAATCCAAGAACTATGTAAGTCAAGAAGGAGTTGTGATCACAGTGAACCCTCATTCTGCTCATAGTACATTTAATACAAACTCATCAATACTTCAGGCTGTGACATCTGTGAGGATTCTATATGAAGAACGCGTGGCAGAGGGGAGGAAGGGACCACCCTTCCTGTGCTTCCAAGCACAGGAGCACGTCTGTGCTAGAGTATGGTGGAGAAGTGAGATAGACTACCGAGGTTGGACAGAGTGGGTCAGTGGTAGTGAAGTGGGTGGGCTGGCCCAGCAGCCCAGGCTGTGCAGGCCATGCTTAAGGCCACTCTGTAAACACACCATGGGGTTGAGTGCAGAGCAGAGCAAGTCCAAGCTGAGTGAAGACGTGGGGCAGGAGACAGTGTAGCTTGGGAAGTAAATGTCTCTGGCTTCCCAACCAGGAAGGTCAGGGCTTCCCCGCAGGTGGTGGATGAGTGTGGCCACATCTTAAGAATAAACTGAGGACAGGAAGGCGACAGTGTGGCCACATTAGCCCCACCCCTTGGCTTCCTCCATGAGCTTGGGCTTCCCACATTCCAGCTCTGTTGACTTACCTGATTCTGCTACCTCAGCAATTGGCACACCCTGCTCATACGCCATGAAGCCCAGGACTGAGAAGATGGCAAACCCGGCCACGAAGCTGGTGCCACTGTTTAGACAGCAGAGCATAATACAGTCCCTGTTGGGAAACAGTGAGATGTGTTTGGGTCAGCATGAGCAGAATAGGCACCTTCTGGAACCTTCCCATCTAAGACCAGGGCATACTGTGGGGCGGACAGCAAAGCATAGATACTGAGAGCCTGCTGTTTTCCAGATGAAGTATTTGTGGTTCAGAGAGAGGGTAGCTGACCCACAATCACACAGCTTTCTCTGTATTGCTAGAAGATGAGGTTGGTCACAGGGAGAAGAATATGGCTGAAGGAAGTGGGCCTAGCTTTATAGAACAAGAGAAGGAAGACTCAGGAGACTGCTCGATTCCTGAGGAAAGAGCCAGAGATAATCAAGGAGGGGACCATGCTCCCAAAGTACAAAGCTCACAAGGTGAGGGAAGCCTCCATAGGAGAAGCCAGGTGAGTGACTAAGAACCTTAGGCCTGCAGTCCAACAGCTTCCACAGGAGAGGTTTTGTGGTGGCACCCATCTTGGCCAAGCAAGGGAGAGGTTTTGTGGTGGCACTCATCCCAGCTAAGCTCATTACCAAGCAAAGCCCAGCATTCTGCTCGGTGCAGGTTCTGCATATTGGGCCAGTTCACAGAGGAAAGCGATCAGAGCAGTTACTCTGACCTGCTCTTAAGAGGAACACAACAGCTGGGAAACACAAACATAAATCCCCAACCTATGAGAAACCAGGCAAGAAGCGATGGCACTTTATCAAGGTGAGGATGATGATCCAGAGACTTGACACATTCCAGCCCAGGCCCTGGAACTCAGCCTGTGTAGTGTGGGCTCATAGTTCAGATCAGGGTGTATGCCAGTGCCTTGCTTTCTACGGGAGGTGTACTTGGGTGATCCTGACCAATAGTGTTCTAGATGGAGTAACATTGTGGCCTTTGCTTCTGGTCCAGAAGCTAGAGCTTACTGCTGCTTTCATCTGGCCCCTGCCTACTGAATGGTATCTCCTGCTGACAGCACAGAGAATCTGCTTATATCCTGCTAGCCAAAATCCAACAAGGCTACCCACAGGGGGTGGGACTTGAGGCTATGGTGGTGTGGAGGTTGAGCCTTACAGCTCCTTCTGCCTTCTGTTGTCTCAGCTAACACTGAGGTTCTCTTACCACACCTTCATCCCGTCCCCCATCTGTCTGTCATGCTTTCTGGCTTGCCCAGGGCCTCTGCAGCTGTCACACGCAGGACTGAGAACTCTCCTCTCTTCTTGTAACATGCTTTTTGTAATAGAACCAAAGGTGATACTTAGGACAAACCAACAATGACCCTGGTAATGAGGACACAGTGGAGAGAGCACTAGACACAGAGTCAGGAGCCTGAGGCTACGAATCTCTCTGCAAGGTCTTTTCTTTGGGACTGACCTAACCATGATAAAGGATTTGGTGACAGGGCCTCACAGCTTGTTTCTAATCCCCCTTCTTGGGGGTGGAATGGAACCTGCAGGTCCACTGGTTTGGGCTTAGCCATATGACCTACTTTTGGACAGTAAGATGTTAGCTGACATGACACAGATGTTTGACTTGTATTTTCTTAACTGGACCTGTCTTCTATCATTCTGATGATGGTGATGGTGATGGTGATGATGATGATGATGATTATTTGGGTGGGAAGAAATCTCCAGGGGATTAACTGTCCCTTCAGCCTGGACCACAGGATGTACACACAAAGAGCAGATTTGAGCTTGGCCTGAAGCCAAACCCACTCACTCGTAGTCAACCTCAACACAAACACTCAGCCTCTGGGGCCAAGGTTATTTGTCATGAACATTACCATGGCAGCAGATGACTGATACAGTTCCCTTTAAAGACCCCTTAGAGAATGGATGCCAGCTAGGCTGCTAACCTTAACTATATATACTGTGTAAAGCCCGCTTTGCCTCTACTCTGGAAGAAACTCAGCTAGTCCTAGCAGAGGACCACATGATTCCCGAGGGACTCACACTTTCACTAGCATCATATTGTCCAAAATCCAGTCGCAGCAGCCATGTGCATCTTCTCCTCTCATCCAAATCCAAACAGCCCTGACTTATCCAGCGCTGGGAAGAGAAGGATCTAGAGAGCAGGGCATTACTCCATGCTTGCTACCTTCTGGATTTCTCTTGTCACGCTGAAGGAGCTACTGTGTGCCAGCTCTGTGTCAAGTCCCCCAACCCCATGACTGGAGTTTGGGCTTCATCATCAGTTATCAGGTAGCTGGGAATCCAATCCTCTCAGATTCCCTTTCAGAAGCTAAAACTCAGGGCTCCCAAGACCAGCCAGTTACCTTCAGCCACCATGAAGCTAGGGAAATCAAATGTCCCTATCTGCAAATCCCGTCTCTCCCACAGCCCCTCTGGTCACTTCTTGTATCTGAGTTCTTAGGGACCTCTAACCCGGTCAGCACTGTGTCTGGATGTCAGTCTCCACCCGTGAGCTCACTCGGCCACATGAGGCTGGACCCTGCCTGGCCAGGGCTGTTCTGTCCCTCTCAAGCCTCCCCTACCGCTCCCTGCAGTCTCTGGGGAAGGCTTACATAACCGGGCCTTTGAAGTCAGCAGGAGCTGAGCTGGGCTTGCAGGAGCTCCAGAGGCAACTAAACTGTCAGGAGAGAGGATTAATTGACTGCTGGGCAGACCTGTTTGCAGAACAATCTGGAAACAGATTTTTGCAGGCATCTGCTTTGTTTCCCTGAGCAGACAGGAAGAGGAGATATCCTGTCTGCTGAGTTCCTACCAGCCACGGATTGGGACAGGCTCATCTCGCAAAATGCAATGCTGTTCATTTCCAGATTCACTGCCAGGTTTCTGGTAGAGAAAATCATTCACATTTAACTATATAGATTATGATCTAAGGCCCCAAACACCTTATATGTCACTATTATATCTTTTAATCTAATAAATAATTTGTATATTTTATTTCGAGTTAAATAATACACAGATATTATCTGTACTAATTAGATTTTCCTTACTGGAATGGGGAAGGGGTAGGACAGGGTCTAATTGTATCTTAGGCTAGCCTGAACCTACTATGTAGCCCAGGCTAGCTCCAAACTCACAGCAATCTATATTCAACCTCTTGAATGCTAGTGTTGTGTCCTAATATGCCTGGCTATCCTGACTCTATTCTTTTTTTTTTTTTATCATAAAAGCACTATGAATCCAGAGTAAACAAGAATACCTTCTATGTACAGGAATCAGGAGAGGGAAAATCAGACCCAGCTTCTTGATGTGATGTTTTGAATAGATTTCTCTATCCTCCCAGAAGTTTGAGGTAGTTTACCCTTTCACATGGACCCATCAGCTGCTCCCTCCTCTACGGACTGGAGTTTAGTTTTCTAGCACCATTTCACATCTTCAAATTAGCGCTTAATCCCTTCCTCTGGGATAGTTTCGCTTTGTGGGAAACTGGTACATAGGGTGGATACAGGTGTGATATCCTTTCTCAACTGGTCTGTTCTCATGGCTGTACCCCATCACAACTCCAGAGACTCCTGCCTACAGAAGGGGCTCCCAGTCTCACAGTGAGATGATCTGCCCACCTTCTGTGTGCCACATGCAGGGCTCTTAGGTGTGAGGACAAACTCTGCCACCTCAGTCAAGGACCCCAGAGTGAATTTATCCTCTCCCCCAACCATAGAGCTAACTATCCCTGGTCCTCAGCCTCACAGTGGCCACTCAGGCTATAGGGCTGCCAGGATGATCCACAGCCTGAGCCACTTCTCTGCCTGGACCCTTTGAGGCTTTGCAAGTGGCTAGCTGCAGGATGTCAAGAGGGTGGTGGGCCAAGAATGGGCCACAGAGGGCCCAGACACTCCAGGTGGGTCAAGAGAGGCCCCATGGACATGAAACAACAGGAGTCAGAAACAAGGTCCCTGGTATAGAAACAGTTGGGTTGAACCAGTTTACTCCTTCATAGCTGTGTGGTCATGGAAAACTAATTGTATACAATAAGTTGTCTGTATACAGTATATACACCTATATACAATAAGGTGTCTATATAGACACCTCTGCTGCACATGCTACACAGCACTGGGTCCCGACTGAGGCTGCAGAGTGGATTTTCTGCGCATCCAGGACAGACTCTGCTTGCATGTGGCAATTTCCCAGCTCTGTTCCTGTGATCCTGGGGAAAGGGAGTGGCTGGCCAGTAGCTATGTGTTCTGGGTCCTGTGTGGTGGACACCTGTGGCTGTCACGGGCTCACCTGTAGCAGTTGTTGTTGTAGTTGTTGTAACTCCCCAGCGCGGTCAGGCAGCCCAAGCAGATGGCATAGGAGAAAAAGATCTGCGTCCCAGCGTCCACCCACACCTGGAGGAGGGCACAAAAATGTGGGCATTGAGAGAGTCAGATGTGGGATGAGGGAGAGTCAACTATAGGAAGGAGAGTCCAATGGAGGAAGAGTGAGGGTCCAATTGGGGAGGAGGGAGTTTGCTCTCTGGACATTTCCCCCAAAGTAATTCTAGGACAGAAATATCAAACTTCCTAGATTTCTTAGAAATTCCTACCAAAACATTTATATTCCTGGGGACCACCTCATTAAAATGAAATTTCCTAAATAAATTCTATATTTTTCTAAAGGTTTTGGTAATAGTCCACTACATAATGAGAATTTGGATATTGACCTGTGGGCATAAGCCTGTAAGCCTAGCACAAAGAGGGTTGAGGCAGGAGGATCTCTGCAAGTTCAAGGCCAGTCTACCTACTTAGTAACTAGGCTGGCCAGGGCTACATAGCAAAACCTTGTCTCTAAAAAAATAAATAAAATAGTAAATAAAACCAGGTGTAGTGGTACATGTCTTTAATCCTAGCGCTTGGGAGGTAGAGGCAGGCAGATCTCTGTGAGTTCAAGGCCAGCCTGGTTTACATAGTGAGTTCTAGGACAGCCAGAGCTAAGTAGTGAGATCCTATCTCAAAAACAAAACAAACTAACAAAATGGTATTTGGATATTAAGGGCCCTGGTTCCAGCTGTATGACTTTAGAAAAGTAGCTTAGCATCTCCCAGGCTTCGTTTCCTCATCTGCAAAGTAAGAAAAGAAGGACCCTGTGAGGCCTGCTATGAGGATGCGCAGATCAGGAATGGGATTCCTGGATATGTGCCTGTTTCTACTGTTTCTATGCCACATCACATCTAAGTTCAACAACAACAACAACAACAACAACAAAAACAAAACACTCCCTTTTTTTGGCAATTGAAATAACCATGAGAACAGAGTCTCATGACTGTGCAGAGAAAGTGTTAATACAGCTCCCCCAAGTCCAGAGGAGAGGGGTGTGTGCGTGTGTGTGTGTGTGTGTGTGTGTGTGTGTGTGTGTGTGTTCATCTGTGTGTGCATGTGTTCAGGTCTACTAGCTTACAAAAGATTCCCTAATGCCAGCTCCCTAGGGACTTAGACAGCCAGCAGCTTCTTAGTCACTCAAGTCCCCTCTGGTTAAAACTCCTGTGGACAGAATAAACTACACTGCGGCAATCACACTGACTTTTCTAGTACTTTCCCTCCCAGAGGCTCTAAGCTCAGTAACTAGAAGTCCCTAAGGAAAGCCACAGCTGAAACTCAAGCTGGGATTTGGGCTGAGCATCCAGCGCCACCTGGAGACAAAACTCAGCACTGAACACAGACAGTAGCAGCCTTTATTAGGCACTTTTGGTATGCAAGGCACCTTGCTGAGCCTCTGTGTAAGACTGCCCTTGAATGTCAGAAGTCCTGGGCAGCCATGTGCAGGGTACAGGTGCTCTTAGCCTCCTCTAGTAGCCCTGGAAGAAAGAGGGCAAGTAGCCTGCCCAAGACCAGGCATCTGGAACATGATGGGTGGAAACACACACAGATCTTCTAGAGACAAAGCATTGCCAGACTCATGCAGATTCAGAACTAGACCCTGCATCCTGGAAGCATCCCTACCTCAGAACAGGCTCTTTTCTAAGTCCTTCTGATGGACTTCTGCCTGACTGCTTTCAGTGACAGGGAGTGACACGTGTCTTTCTTCTTTAGGCACCTCCGACTGGTAGTCATTTCCCAAGGTGAGAACTTTCCTGGTGTTTGATTCTGTGTCCCCCAGACCACAGCTTTCTCTGTGGTACTGCCCCACAGCCTTCTAGCTCCCACAGCATCCTCAATCCAGGCAAGATCCTTTTACCAGGATTTTCTCACACAGAACAGGCCACTCTTCCTGGTCTGCTCACATTTGTGAAACTATCCAATGGTAACACGTGAAAAGTGCTTTTGATACTGAGTATCTGCTACCTCTCCTAACCTAGGCTGGCTGGCCTTAGAGTGTCAGCAAAGGAGCAACACAGGGTGAGCACATCATGGTCTGTGTGTGTGTGTGTGTGTGTGTGTGTGTGTGTGTGTGTGTGTGCAGTGCTGCCAAATCAGGGTGTACCGAGACATGGGTGTTGGGAAAGAGAGAGAACACAAGAATATTTTTAAAAAGCCATTGGAATCATATTGTTTTGTGTTTACTTAAAATTACACACACACACACACACACACACACACAGTGTTTAACTAAAGTTATGCCCTTTGGGTAACCTCCCAATAGTCATAGACTAGAAAGTATAAACCCCAATCCCAGGCGCCGGGAAGCACACTTTTGCATTGTTGGTTAAATGATCCCAAGAAATGCCCAAATAATATAGGCTATTGCCATTGCCCTCGGTGCCTTCTCAAAAAAGAAGGTAAGACCTCATTACTGAGAACACTACATAATTTGGACATAGGAGGAATCTCTGACCTGAACACCTCCTCCCTGAGGACCACCTCTCATAGCATCAGAACAAGCCATGCAAGCTGCCAAGGAGAAGCAATCAGTAGTCCTAGCCAGCTGTAACACCTGTGAACCCCAATAATGATCAGAATGGCAAGAGATTCTGAAAGTTGCAAGAAGAGCATATACATCCTGGGATAACCAACTGCTGTCTAACTGGACTTAAAGCCTGCTCAGTAGGAAAAAATCCATGCCTGGCACTGTAAACCTATTCAGCTATCCATGGTTTCGGAGGCATCAGACCCTAGAGGAGAACCTACTACAGCCACCATAAAGCAGTATGAGTCTTCACTGCCCTCAAAACACTTATCCTTATGTTCACAGGTGAGTGTGGCTCTCACATGTTTTCAAAGAAACTTCCTTTAGCAGCCGAGATTGTCAAAGAAAGCCACAGCTGGCCAGATGTGGAGAACAACTGATCATGAGCATCTAGCCCCAGCGGTGACATCTACAACACATTCCTTTAGCTAAGGTTTGAGGAATGTATTGGAAGAGGGCACAGAAAGATTGGAAGAGGCAGAAGACCAGGATGTTTGTTGAGAGATAATGTCTTCTAAAAATAAAATGAAATACAAAGTAGAAGTTGGGAAAACAAAGTGGGTGAATATGATTAAAACAAATCATATGAAGTTCTCTCTCTCTCTCTCCCTCTCTCTCTCTCTCTCTCTCTCTATATATATATATATATATATATATATATATATATATATTTGGTTTTTTGAGACAGGGTTTCTCTGTGTAAGCATGGCTGTCCTGGAACTCACTCTGTAGATCAGGCTGGCCTTGAACTCAGAAATCCCCCTGCTTCTGCCTCCCAAGTGCTGGGATTAAAGGGATGCGCCACCACTGCCCAGCGAAAGAGTATTATATTAAAAATGATTTTTAAAGCCCCACAAAGCTCAAGAATCGCCGTTGCAGATGAAGAGTCAGAGCGGATAGCAGTGCAAAGGAAAATCAAGACTCAGGAAGGAAATTTCAAGGTGTCAGGGGCTTGAGAATACCTACATGTTGGCAGAAAGGACCCAAAAGAGTAAAAATTGTTGAAGATTGAGGAGATGAATATGTTATTAAATGCTACATCCTGTCTCAGTTTTCCCATGTGCCAGTCTCTCCCTGAGAATTCTTCTTTCCACACAGAGAAGCAAGTAGACCACGGGGAGAGGCAGAACACAGCTCAGATGCTGACGCACGAACAGAATGCCCACTCTTGGTGGAGCCCTGTGAGATGCTTGGTGGCTGACAGGTTCACCAGCGACTCACTCCTGAGACTAACGGTCCTGGGAGCTCAGCCTCCCACAGGCCAGAGCGGGAGAATCCCGCAGGCTGGTGGGAAAGCTTGCTCAACCATCACTCAACGGAGCCCCAATCACAGTCCTCAACTCTGAGTTAGAAAAGATTCCGGAGATCCTGGCCACACATCCCAATGACGGGCATCCCAAACCCGTGAATAGATTTGCATTTGCAGACAACTTTCCTGGAAGTCTAGCACCCATTCCTTCCCTTTGAGTAGTGAGACTTCAGATTCTTTTTGGGAATTTACTTCTCCCCTACTCAGGGTGGGCCCATATCAGAAGCCTGACCATGCTAGCTTTTCCAGGAATGTGGAAGACTTTGAAACCTTGGACTAGGAAGCAGTTGAATGCCATCTGCACAGCTTAATCAACCATCCTAGGAGACACTTGGAAAACAGGAATGCTAAGAGCTGTGTAGACTGCAGAGGCCCAGCTCAAGAGGTTTCATGGGAGAATATTATTAGCCTCTGGGCTAGAGATAATTTTCATGATAGTTTGGCAAAATATGTTTGTTTTCTGCCCTTGTCCTAGGAACTTGCCTGAGGCAAAAGTTAAAAGCATTAGCCTAATTTCTTCAAAGGAAGAGATTTAAAGACAGTCTAATATTGACTCTGTCATGTGGCTATTAATAATTAGTAATTAGCAAGTTACAATGAAAACAAGCCAATGGGACAGAAAAAAATACTAAATGTACATTATAGAGAGGAATAGGACCCTAATAAGCCTGATGTGACAGCCAAGGCTTATGCTGGAAGTGAGGCTATAATTGTGAGATTAGATCTTCTAAAGAGAGGCCAGATCTGCAATGGAATAAGGGGAAGGCTGCTTTCAGTAGTAGCTTGCTTAAAGCACACAAGGTTCTGGGTTCCGTCTCCAGCACTGTGCAAAAACAAAATAAACAAATCCAAAAGAAAGGACTTTAAAGTTTTATCATAAAGAAATGACAAATATGTTTGAAAAGAGAGAGATGTTTGAGGTGATTTAAGCATTATGTAATTTGTATATATATTAAATATACATTATAATTTGTATATACAATATCCCATACATAACATACATACTATCATGCTATCATACAATCAGTATACTCAATGTTTATAGTTTGTGTATCAGTTTTAAAAGCTCATTTCATTTTATTTTTGAGATGGAGTCTCATGTAGTCCAGTCTGGTCTTGAACTCCGTATCTAGCAGACGATAACTTCAAGCCCATAGTCCATCTGCTTCCACCTCCCAAGTTCTGGGATTGCGGGCA